AAGTTTTCACGGGTCCTTGGATCGGTGATCGATTTCGACTGTTTCATGGTCGTGAGAACTAGGCGTTATATTCACCGGTTCACAGAATGCTTTCAACGCTGAACCGACCAGTCGATTAGTCACAGAATTGAAGCCATACACTGACGCTTGCTTTCATTTGACATTCCTGGTATGTGGAACGTGGAATGGGTGGGTGCGTGGGAATCGATCAGAATCGTTTATAAGAGAGGCTGTGTCTCATCAGCTGAGTCAAGAGTATTGAACCGACCAAATGATTGAAGTATTTGAGGAACCAGTCCTTGGAATTCCGTGGAATATGGCTATCAACGGCGATAGGTATTACTTGCAGATGTCCGTTACATATAGCACAACTGCGTTTTCCATCCAGATCTCACGGCTTACTGCAATGTTGGTGTGAAATTCAGGCAGGCTCACTGAAGCTACTGACTTCTTTAAAAGTGTGCTCTGGTCAAGTAGTTTTCAGCGGCGTTTCTAATGGTAAACGCCTGGTAAACGCCGTTTTTCTCACTTCTAGATCATATCCGTTATCTGGTTGTCACGGAAAACTGAAAGTATTCGCATTTAGCTAGTTGGGTCCTTTAGTTGAAAGGACCTAATCTTACGGAGTGAGTTGATGTGTAGCTTCAAGGAAAGTGGTCCTAGCTGGTTCAGAGTACAGGGTAGCAGATTACGCGGATGCAATCCTGTCATACCTGGACACAGTTATTGGCGGAGATCATCCACCTCACCGACCGGGTCCTAATCCACTGGAATGTATTCTTACAGTACAAAGGAAATAAAAGATTTACAAACCAGGTTTTCCAGCCACTCGCAAATTATGAAATCATGTTACTGATTTTTAGCATTCCTTAGTGAATTCGTCAGTTATTGATGTCCTCTCAATGGAAACTTGTGAATGTGTTTGCAGCAGTGACCACTCATCCGACTTTTCTGTGTTTGTTTTCGAAGGTTTCCAGTGATGCCACAACACCCATTTGTGTTGTTTTCCCAAAATCCACGTGGTATTCATACTCTGTTTACTCACATTGCTGGATTGTGCAACTCGACACCAGTGCCATTCCCCGTTCAAGAATGCGTTGTGCGGCTAAGTAGCTCATCATTTCCCATAACAAGCACTGACATGTATGCTTCACATTATCGATGGTGATGATGTTTTGTTGCAAAATATACCCAACCTGATTATTCTTGAGAAACGCTGAGAGTGTAACATTATCATTCGCAATCCATTTGTTTACTGGGACATCACATGCTGTTGTCTGCATGCAGTGAATCAATTCTCCTGGCGTCCGTTTCTAGCAGTATCCCAGTGCGGTCAATTAGACAATGCAGTCGTGCACTGTCGCCGACAGTCGTTATCTCCTTTCGGATCTGTTTACGAGTGACACTGTCACGAAAAATAGTAGTGTTTTCAATGGTACCAAGCTGTCATGCATGCATCACTGGTCATTAATTTATTTCGGCATTTTCCACCAAACTCCACAAAGAACTCACTGTTGACAGGTTATTCACAACTTCGGACACATGCGTCGCGGTTGCAGTCTTGTAACGATCTGTTAGTTTGCCCACTGCGCCAATTCATCTCGCGTATGTATGTTCACTTCGACCTTCACAATTTGTGGGCCACAATTGGTCACACACGGCTTTTCGATCCAATTTTCCCAGGCAAAACGGAACCCATCGTCTCCGATGACTTTGGTTACGGGGTTGGCGACCTACCTCGAGATCACCGGCTGTTTGTTCGACTGTTCGAGAAGTTCTATGATGACCGAGTTGACCCTGTGTACTCCCACATCACAGTATCATTGCAGAGGATAAAATGGGACAAATGAGTAAAGCATTCCGGTTCCCCATATAATGCCTCCTCACATGGATTTACTAACACTTGCAGTCCGAGGCAAATTCGGCAATTTCTCTCACAACTTCTATGACAATGGCTATCCGCGGACAGATGATGCCGAGGATTCGTTCTATCGAATTCAATCTCTGTTTCAACGAAATCATCTCGAGCAGTCTGGTGCTATGACAACCGCGCATGTCAGTAACTCTCATTGTCAGATAACTCATTGGTTCAGATGTGCTCGACTCTACTATGTACGCAGTCGTTCAACATAATTCAAGCTTGCAAAGACTTCGAACGCTTATCCTATAATGTCGCTAACATTTACCGGTGTCACCATTCAGAGCAGGCCTAAGTGACAAGGCACTTTAGTCCAGGAGCTTCCCAGACCTTAAACAGTGAGGCAACGAGTGCTTTGGACTAACGTGGTCCCGGCATGAACGATTCCTGTTTCGCAAAGTGGACGTAGTAGGTATCATTCTGGATAAGCTCCATCAGTTCATATGCTTGAGACAGATTTTCACGTAACGACATTGTGGACCAATGTTGCTAAGCCTGGAAGGCCGGAGGCCATGGCCAAACACACCTAAATTGTTACATCTGAAGACGTGAATGCGATCACGGCTGGTGGATATGATTGGCTCGCTCAACGCCTTGAACGACTATCCCGACTGAGAAGTTATGGCAGACAGTTCAGGCTTTCGACAAAACTAGGAAATTCTCATCTGGGGACCCAAACTTTATGACTTGCGAAATGCAACCATCTGCAGACAAATTTGAGGCCCCAGGAAGACCCAACTGAATCCCAGCTTCATTCCTCGTTTTCACTGCTTTCAACCGAATATGCCATAAGACTTTAATCTGGTGTTTCTGTGTAGATGATCTTCTTGGTATCTCAGCTCACTGTGTCGGCGGACCACGACTTTCCTGTTGCTGTGGAGCTGAGGAAGAAGGCCTTCGCTGCGCAGTTATTTATCAGCAAATGCCAATTGAACAGTTACAGACTATTGGACAGGGAAGCAAGACTCTCACATCCATCTTGTTTACAAAAACTGAGCATTCATCTTCTCTTAAACGCGTCTCCCTGGACTTTCCTGGATATTCATTGACTGTTGCTCAAATTCAAACAAATGCGACCTCACAAATTCTGCAATAGATCTCCCTTTTCAAGAGACGCTAAGAGCATTTACAAGAAAACATACTACTCGCTTGCCCCCATCAGTGGTATCACCGTTGCAGTGGTATCTCAGCCCACTGTCTCGGCGGAGCACAATTTCCCCAATGCTGTTGCTGAGGGGCTTACACGATCCACATGAGTATCACACTGAGTCGAGATGTGTTTAGGACATCCTGAAACAATCAATCTAATAGCTTACGGTTTTGGTTTAATGAGGGGCTGACTTTTGTTAACGACCGGATCAGGTCATGGTGCATTGGTTATATCATATTCATAAGCATGATTGAGGACTTGCAGGCTGATTGAGTCATACCCTGTCCGCGTTTGAAATATGTCAATGCTCAAATCGCTTCTGAATTACATGATATTTGGAATGTTCCGCCAATCGATATCTCTCCGGGATCGGTAGTTAATCACACAGAAATATCCGCTATCTGCTATATACCTAGACGTTTACCGTGTTCCATATGGACCAATCGGCCAGTGACCGTCATACCTTGACATGTAAAGAGCTGTTGGCAAACGGCTGCCGACGGGAAACACTCATTTAGGCGACTGCACTCATTTGACTCAGTGTCCGAAACCGAACACTCACGGTTGAATAGTTGATTTCCAGCGTTTATGATTGGGAAGCGTAAACCGATGAGAAGATTGGCAAAATGGCCTGATATAATGTCAGGCCTATGGACAAATACCAAGATAGTTATGGGATAGTTCGACGAGTAATGCCACCGGAAGCGTTCGATAAGCGTGTCCGTCGTAGTCTGGATTACGAAGTCATTCAACAATTGAATTTCTTACTCGATGAACCTATGATAGGGATCTCTTAATTTAAAAATCTTTCTCTGACAGTGAACCCATATCTTGCCCCAGCCAATGATTGTTTGTTTAGGTTGGTTGCTTAAACCCTAAATTGACACAATTACTGTGATCACATGGAAGCGGTTCAAGCCAAAGAGGTGGACGCGGTCGCATTTACAGTCATCTGTGCTGACAATCACGTGAGCATGCGGTCCATGCAGATTCGTCAAGTTGTTCCATAATACACAAGCCACATTGCCGTTTTTGCTTTTGATCGCCCGAACCTATTTAGCCCTTGCTGTTCAATTTACTGGCCATTTGCTCTCTATCCCATGCAGCTCGTTTTCCTGTTGTCTCGCACGAAAATAAGGCTTCTATCAGAGTGACCATTTCGGCACACAAACGTGCGTTTTTCCCTGCCAAACAACCCTCTATATTGATTAGCACATATCAAATTCCAATTTGGTACAAGGGGAATCTCATAAGTGCTTCGTTTTGAGTGACTTTTAAATTCGTCCTGTTTTGGGCTATCAAAGTGTTTTAACGATTCTAACTATGTCTTCCACTTCGCTGTGTCTGTCGAAGTTTAATTGGATTGCTCACTTTTTACCCGTATGAGCAAGAACAAATCTGAGGACTCTGTAGCACACTGTCTCCTCAGGTAACTCACATATCAATCAGTAGATTACACAATGTGATGACAGAATTAGTTCGAGTGATGATTAGGAACTGGGATTATGTGGTCCGGACGGTGGTCGAGTTCAAGGGTTCACGACAGAAGAGCCAGAGACAAAATTGTTGTGGAACAAGAACATCCAAACTGCAGTCACTTGATAATGAAACAGAGCCAGACGCCAGCGTAGCAGAGTGCTAAACAATCTCAACTTGGATCTCCACACACACCATGAGATTTCCATTCGCGTCCTTCAACAGCCACTGCATAGGCACGGTCATCTGAAAGACCGAGTGGGAAAATAACAGGCGGTTACGTGCATTAGTACAACCAGTCAATCAACCGTCCTTGCTGGGTTTGTTTATGCGTGTACGAGTGTGGTCATGTGGATCCATTTTTGTGTGAAGTGCTGTTAGTAACTGTAAAATGTTTCTCAGTGCGTTGTGAGCATACCTGAGGAGAATGTGGAATGCAAAGTTTTAGCAACTCACTGGTGAATACGTTTTATCGATGTGGATAGTAGTGCTGTATCTGTACCAATGTCCGGCTTTGAGTGGACACTTTGGATGGACGTGTCCACATATGTGGGGCGAGTGCAGTGTGATGGGGACAGCCACTCCCCAAACGACAGTACGCGCCTCGGCTTGGCCAAGATACTCTGCATCTTGATCTACAAATCAAGAGGGCACGTAAAGCCCATGATGATCAAGAGAAACTTGTACACCCAACGTCACACGTTTACACAGATGATGAACGTACTTGTCAGACGCGTGTTGGGAATTCGTTTGGTGCTGTGACTCACCTGGTTGGAACTGTATTCCAAATTTAGTACTTCCTCCTCTGCGCAGCTCACACGGTTGGCGGGTGCACGGTTCAACGGTGACGTCTCCTACCGGGACGATGGATCCTGTGCGAACAGAGAATATTTGAATCAGGATCATAGATTTGTGTTAATATTTAATGGGTGCGTTTTTGTGGATGGGCGTGTGAGATTGAACATAACAGCGTAATGGGAGGATGATGCTTTAAAATCCCAAATTCTTGGGGAGACGGATGTCAGGAATGGCGAATTGTCTATATGCTGCAACCAGTCAGCTGAACAGAACTTTGCGATAGTTCACTACACAACTAACTGCCCGTGTTCTGTTAGGCAAAATCACAGTATCACTCACCGCAATCCTTGTAGTGGACATCCAGAGCACTGGCATAAAAGAAGGCAGTAACGACCAGCAATAGTGAGCGATGCACTGGCGTGGGCATGATTGTTCACTTATTGAACGTTTGGTGGATGCGCTACAATTATTTCCACTTTTATGCATCTGCTCATGCATGCTCAGAGCATGCATGTTGGTCAACACATGGATTAAGCTCGGATAATCACATTCATCACGGTTTATGTTCACCTTGGGTATGTTAATACTCACCTGCCTGTTTTGATGGTAATAGTATGTAAATGTGGTTTTCAAGGCCTTCCCAATTCGATCTGACTTCCAGCGGATCAGGCACTGGTCTGGCATGCATTGGCGAAATCATGCGCTTTTGTCTTGACGTCGTACTGCCACCAGTTTAACGGGTTTCACTTCCACAACAAAACGGCCTACAAGGTTGCCTGTGTGTCTTTGGCCAAGGATGTCACGGACCTAAATGAATAGCACTTGAACTACTAAACGTTTGGACTAATATTGGATGAAGTAAATTGGTGCACGGCAATGGATGTGTTCACATCTGTTTTCCACGAATCCTGCTTGCCCTGGTGTACCTACCGAGTTCGATTTGTGTGACAGTGTTGCGGTACACGTCTTGCGTACTCATCCGGACTAATTGATTATATCGACTGTCTCTTCGTCGACTTCATATGGCTCACAAATTCTCTCCATTTCATTAAAAAAACCCTCAGGATAGCAGTTAGTTCAACGAATGTGGAGCTTGCGAGTTTTGCCGACTTGTTACACTCAGTTTACCGTCACCAACCCAAAGTGAACAGCGTAGTCAGCGATTTCAACATACAGGAAGTCAAGAGGTCACTCTCACCTGTAGGTGTATGTCAATCATAATTTGCACACCGTTCACTGAAATCTAATGGCAATTAAAGTGTCTACTCAACAAGACACCATCCACTCATCCGTAACGCTTCTTTTTCGACTGAATTCAAGCAAATTCGACGTTTTGCACAACCCAATCGACAAGTGTGCAAACCCCAATTCACCTGCCTCATTTTACCGAGGTATGTCTCAATAGCAGAACCTATCCTGGAACGGAATATTTTCTTCCATCCAATCCAGATGGGGCTGTATATCTTTCTTATTCATTGGCCAACTTATCTATCTACTTCTGTCTTCTCCATCTTAAGCCTCCTGACAAACGGATCCCTCGAACCGTCGTGTGGGGAAAATATCATATCGATACCTGATAATACACAACGTAAATGAGATGTCAATGTGTCCATCTAATCTGTGAGGTATGTTCCGCCTGCTTTTCGAACTCACTCCTGAAAACAATTTCACCTTCCATCGGCGTCTACTCCAACCAGGTATCCCGTTGCACATCGTCCGCAGATATTTATTCCTTCCTGATCCCAGCGGAATTCACTGAGCCGTCGGCCACTTCGTGGACGACGATAAATCGAACTTAGTACTGAATAAGTTCGCATTATTCCTGAAATACAGCGGCTTCCTTATCGCATTGATAAGTTCTGCTATCATGGTCTACTCTGGCGTGATTTCAACGCAAAGAGGATCATAAATCATGTTGTCAGGATATCTGTAATGCCAGCTGCATTGTCGATCCCCTGTATTAGGAGTTCCTCAAATGACGATCTTGTGTCTCAATCCGTTTAAGGTTCTTTGATCATGTGGCTCTCTCTTATTGTCATACCAACCCTAAGTATTTTATACAAGAACGTTGACCAAGTACCAAATACCCAATTCTCCAGGACATTTTGGCAACTGAGACCGTCAACCACAGCCTATCAGGGTTCCGCTTGTAACATCAAATGAAAAAGTCCGATTCTACGTGATGGCGGTATGAATGGTGATATTCAAAAGTGGTTTGTAGATAAACAACCTTGTTATAAGCACCTGATCATCTCTCTGTTGCAAGATGTTTTCTGTTAACAAATGCACTTTCTTTCATGCCGCAGTCAAGGATACTTCATACGAGACAAGAACCGTATCTGCGATCCAGGTGTACGGCCTTCCGCAACCATAATTCCGGTGAACAACAAACTCACCGAAAAACTCATCTGTCCACACATCAATCCCATAGTCAAGCAACAGCTCCGTACACTTGTTATCTACCTTGTTGTCTTTCTTAGCATGAAAAAATGCAAGCGAATGTTCATGGAAGGTGCGTGTGGAGCTCTTCTTGGAGCGTCTCCCCATATCATATCGGACGGGATGTAATAACACCATAGTGTTTCCACATTGGCGGTGCCAACTCAGACGGCGTACGATGCTCTTTTAGTCCACTACTTCTCGGAAAACAACCAATCGTTCAAAAGTATCCCACTCACGACCGTTTATTTGCGGTTCCATTTGTCCGAGCAGCATATCCATAAATACTGAGTGTGAAAGTGGTCCCACTGGGATTTCCAACCACGTAGATTTTGCCATCGCTTTCAGTTCACTCTTCTGTCTGGTCAGCTATTGCTTATGGCGTCCACTGGCTGAATTCGGTACCGGAATTAGCTGCTGGTCATTCAAGTCATAGATTCCTACCGATAATATATCCTGTTAGACACCATGCATCCTTCGATTCCAGGTCAGTTCCCGCACCGAATGCAAAGACGACTTTTGAGTCTTACTAACGAACAATCCCACCATCCCACTCATTTCGCGCGCAGTCAGTTCAACTTTAGTTTAGTCAAACCCATCTCTAGCTTGAAGATGAAATCAGGTCTTTCAACCAGGCTTCAAGCACTCTCTTAAGTTTATATTTTGTGTTTCTCTTTCTATTCTGGTTGGCCCAGATTAAACCTACTTTTTGTATGCTAGTAAATAAGCAAACCACGCGTTGAATTTCCATACAAGTGGCCTCTCCAACAAATTCTGCTAAATCCGCGCCAGACTTGAACTTTCTCAGTATTTCTGGGTATAATTGCGCTGTCGAAATGTTTGCCTCATCAGATTTCCGTTTCTCCTTCCAGCACGTCGTTGTCAAACTCGTTCACACCTTACCATGTTCTAGGATTTCTATTTTCGCTTATTGAACTGCTTACTTGCGGATTTGATTCACGTTTGACTCGTTGTCGCTGATTTAGGCACTGTTAACTTGAACGCCCTTCAGACGAACTCTTCTGACGTCAATACCCAATTGAAGATCAGAACGGTTTCAACTCGCGTTTTGATACACGGTCATGATGTGTAGGCACTGTTAACTTGAACGCCCTTCAGAGAAACTCTTCTGACGTCAGTACCCAACTGAAGATCAGAACGGTTTCGACTCGCGTTTTGATACACGGGCATGATGTACACACTCCATATGAAGTGTTCACTGGCACTGTTGTCTCAGTATGCTTTGTTGGTACAAACGACAGATCTATCTGGATACAGGCCGAATCCCCCGTTTCCGATATTCTCTAAATGTACTTTTCGTTTCCAAAGATATTCCGATATTATAGCATATTTTTTGACGGACAGACTGTTCATGCGGTCGCTGAAATCCACCGGAATTAGATAAATGTTTAACGTTGCGCGTAAGGGACCAGGCACTCACTTGATGAAGCCGTAGAAAAGTGACACTGGTTGCTAACTATCGAGGAGTTTTTCGCAACATTTAGGGTAGTGTCCCACCCTAAAGACGTCTTTTCTAGCCTGGGCCTGCTTCTGCCACCCTAAAGACGTCTTTTCTAGCCTGGGATTACTTCTATTCCAACCGAGTTACTTATTGAACTATCCTGGCGGATGATCACAGAGGTGAATAGAGCAACTTTCAGCAGTGAGGTATGGCAAGTACGCGTATCCCTCCTGCTTTGGGTTTCATTGTAGATTTTGGGAATTATCTTAATTATCGTAATTATCGAGCATCTTGAATTGCCCGTACGCTTTTGTTTCTACAATTGGAGTGGTTTTCCTGAGAAATCCGTGAGCACATATCGAAAATTCAAAAATGCGGGCCAGCTGAGTTCACCACCTAACACATAAGCCTGGTTAAAACTAATGACCTTGTGAATGGGAATAAAAGGGTACATCATTTCAAAGGACGCGCTGTAGGATTGTCTAGGAAACCGTATCGTGGTTGCCTAAACCTCTATTTGAAATCGCTTACGGTAAGCATCTGCAAGCATCTCGCGAGTATTTGACACACATGGATCATGTGCTATAGTCACTCCTTGTGTGGATACACGCGAGCCATTTTAGTAAACTGTAGCTTATGACGCGAGTACTGAAACCTCAGGTTTCCTAGTCCAGCACTCAGACCTACCGAGTGCTTGCATTTCAGAATGATAGCTTTCCATTGAGTGTACGATTCAATTTCTCGGTTCACCTCCCAGCTTACCGTAAAGATATCAGATATCAAGTTTCTGGTGCCTGACTCACTTTGCAAAATCACGTGTGAGGCTAATGAATGGTCAAGTTTTCTTGTAATTGGACTTATTTATCGAACGTCTGGATATCATTGCTATCTCACTACTCAATGTGAAATCGAAATCAATATGTGAGTAGCTCGAAAGAGGAAAAACTGCACAAGTGAGAAGTCGTCACTCGAGGAGCCAGTGATCACTGGACCACGTGATTTGGTTTTCGCGATTCCTGTCTAAGTAGGAATAAACAACCTTGCTGATCAGCTGCTGCTGTGGATAAGCGTTATTCGGGCGGTGGCGCGTTCTTAATTCCCTGGACTTTCGTGAGATGCGCATTGCTGTTGACCATCAATCAGTCTGAGCCAGTTGCACAGTGCTTTTGGGCTTTCCGGTATCGGATAGCTTTACTTGCATAACAAAATCTCAGTTGAAAATAAGTTTTTGCTGTTAGTTGTTAAAGCGCGAAGTTACTGACCGGAAGGTCGGTGATTCGAACCCGACCTCTGCCCCTCAACTTGCCCTGTCTAGGCTTGAGCAACCTGGCAGTATCCCGGCCCTCGTGCCTCCTTCGTGTTGCATGGCAGCTAGGCACTGGAAGGGTGCTACAGCTGAACAATTTTTTTTGTAATTATCTGAGTCTCTGAGCTTGGTTGTTTTAATTTTTATCGTCTTCGGCCTAAACTATTCAACTTGCTCTTCAAGCGTTTTACCGAGATGCAAAAAGATCGATTTTGTAGAT